ACATTTAGCTGCTGCTACTTGGTGTTTGCGTACTTTGTACTTCTCTCAAGTGCGTGGTTGGTTTGAGATTATTGAGAATTTGCACTTTAAATCCACCTGGAATTGAGTCCCATTGTCTCTCGTCCACATCAATAGCTAGGCTTTCCTGCTTCCATACTCTTTTGCTGTGGATAAATTTTTTTTGTACCATTTCAAAGCTGATCATCCGATGTAGTTTGTAGTTTACTCCGAAATCAATGCCGTCCATTTTCATCATTAACAGAAGTAAGCTTCGTAAAAACCAAGACGTTTACATGTGATCAGAACTAGAATTTTTGATCTCCTTTCCCGTTATTTGCATGTAGACGTAGCCTGAAGGAAGCTATCCTCTTTTGGGTTTCGACGTGACTTAATTAAGTTGGGGTGCCAAGGAAATGAAGAAAAACTTGGAAAGCATGAGTGTAGTTTGCAGCCGCATTTTAAGAAAAAGAAACATCCTCCACTGATACAACGTCCTGGACATTTGTTCATTGTTTGGGCTTTTGAAAGGCCATCTTCAATTTGTTTGTTTTTCGTCTTTCTCGCATAATTTACGTTTTCCTAGAATTTCTGGAAATGCTCGATGTTAGCTTTTGAAGCCTTTCTTTGTAGGATTTTTTTGTAAACAATCGAGCAGTTATCTTTATTGTTAATAATTTTGATAGATCTTCCAATTTTACTATGAGGGATCAATTTAATTTTTTTATTCGGTCGATACCACTGTGTTTGGATAATCAATCAAAAACAAGAACATTATCTCTTTTGCTTGCAATGATGCATTGTGATTGGATGTGTATCGCGATGTACGGTATATTACAGTAAGTAGGACATGAAGCTATGAAGGCAGTAATCGTAAAAGCCAATAAATCATGTTATTATATTTTGCTATTGATAACTTCCTTAACGTTTGTTAAAAAATGGCAAATGCCCGGAAGTACTTATTTCTACCTTTTTATCTTGTTTTCATTTTTGCTCTGAAGTTTGAACTTTCACAAGGACGAATTTTCAGGCGCTGTGTACTTTAATACGTGTCACAGTCGTCATATATCTGTGTGAGATTGCTAAAATGCACTTATTTACAAGCTCTAGTGACACAGGCATTATCTTAGTTTCAAAAAAAAACAACTGAAGAATAGCGATGACAATTCTGCCACTTCGTCACAACAACCTGTCAGTTTCGTTGAGCTGGTATGGGGCCGCAGGAGAGATGTTCGAGCTTCACTAATGCATAAAGTGACGCCATCAAACACTTCGAGCATAAAGATGACTTGAAGGGACAAACGAAGTTGACGTCGTATACTGCATAAACTTAGCTTTCGCGACGGATTTCAGATTTTCAGAAAAAGCGAGTGCACTTCTTTGGTGGTTGTTTACTTTAGACACTTGTGCGATTATCTCTTTTGGTACCTTTTGAAATTTTGTTTACTACTGTTTGTGTTTATATTTGACGATTAAGTCATTGTTGTAGCCTATTCTACGAGCCTAACCACATCAGCAAAGTGGCTTCATACTTTAAAATTAGCAAAATCTCTGAGCATGTGATCTAAACACAGCCTTTCGTCGTGTAAAAAACGAACGTTTACGCTTTTTATTTCGAAATCTATTCTTATCCAGAAAGGAAATGAGACCTTATAATCTTGTACTTTTGCCGATTTTGGCACTGGACATAGCGCTTCCGCATAATAAGCAGCAATAATAGCAGCTAATTCAGTTTTTGTCATTTCCCTTCCTGCCTTCACCGTTTTTTGGTGTTATTCTAAGAACCCTCGCATGTGATTGTATGTACTTATAGTTCTATTCTACGTTTCCGTTTCTATAGAGCAACCTTTGTGTCACACCTTCGAGTCTAACAATATTCTCCATGACCACTAGCTTTTTCAACGACTCTTCCACTAAACAGCATTTACTATGGAACAAATTTTGAGGATTTGCAATTTTCGGTGATCAGTTTGGTCTGAGTAGTTTTTCTTTCGATGTTTCCTAAATAATCATTCTAGTCTTATTTGCTGTACTCTTAACCTCTACTCCTAAATCAGTTTCTTTAGATTGAAAGTTCTTATAATGAATTTCAACTATACAATCACACCTGAACTCTCACTGAGATTTGGTGCTTATATGTAATTTGTGAGCAACTTTCATCGTTACCGTTTCCTGTCAGAAAACAATTGGAAGAGTTACCACTTATCCGAAGTGGAGATTTGCAAGCTAGCGGTTTGAACTGTTGATTTTAGAGTTTCCATGAGCGAAGCTTTGATACATAAACGCGAATTTCCTGTACGTAAATCGCTTCGGGTTCTTCTATCACTGCTAGAGTTGCACGAGACATTCCAAGATTGCAAAATGTGTGATCTTATTGGACTTTAGACAGCCATATGACAGTGCGAATTCTCTAATGAAGTACTGCCTTAGAGTGCGGGTGCTCTTTTCGTTTATTTCTTAGTTCAAGTCCTTTGAGTTGTGTCTGACCAATTTGTTTTTTCCTGCTTTTCGTCGAACTTAGTTGTTGTTTTTTATACAAAGCAGTTTGAACTAGACTAGGGATTATTTCTTGACATGTTTTCTTCGCTACATGCTATTTATTTCTTGGTCCCATGTTCAGCTATAGTCGCAATTTTTTTTCATTAAGCATTTGTACTTCCCAGGAGGTTCAGCTAACCGCGGATGTATTGGCTGGCCACAAACACTTCTTAGGGCTGATGGATGAGCGGATGAATGAAAGAGTAATTGAATGCTTAACTTAAAGAACAGGAGAGCATTGAACTTTAGCGAAGATAAAGGAAGTGCGAAGAAGGATTTTTGAAAATGAGTCTCAATGGTTTTTGTTGAGCTTATCCCGGCTGCAGAAAGCGCACATGACAACTGGAGATTTTAGGTTCTGAATTTGCAAAAACTTGCACTTCTTTTGTTGTTCCCCAAACCCCCTCCCCTTCCCGCCTTTGTTGCAATCAAGGATGATGTTTTCAGATACTGATTATTAGCTCCACTCTCTTCGAGAAATGTCACAGTCACCCACTGCACAAAGCACAATCACTTAGCATTTGGGGCTTCATTTACATTTCCCTTTGTAAATATCCGCTCTCAAAAGTGTCTAGTTATTTTGAAATCAAATAAGAAGAGCCCGCGAATCTAATTTTGGTGATTTCGTCAGTGTGGTTGTAGCGAACAACATATAGACAATGTACTCTAGCGTATGTGAAGGCACTATTTTCCAAAGTGCTTCGCATCCTAAATCTCTGAAAACTCGCTCTGCATTCAAGTCCACCAGCTATTCGAAGATCTGTCAGTTGTTTAGCTATGAATAACTGTATTTACCGAAGAACGGAAGGTCTAATGCCGATTTCTTACTTTGTTTCCGTGGATAAAATATGCTGCCTTTTGTAAAATCTGTTTGTTAGACCCTCTTGTTCCAGCTCCATCGAATTCTTAGAAATTATGGCGCATCCAAAACGGTGTTGGCAGTGGATATTTACGACGGCGTGGCAAAAATGTAACCTGCCAAATATGTTCTGTTCATGCTTACGAAAGATACTGCAGTAATTAGCTGTAAAACAATCTTTTTCGTTTTGAAATCCTGGAAAGAGTTTTGATTTGTTTTTTTCTGCGCTTGACATTTTTACTCTCAGAGCTCGCAACATAGTCGTTCAAGTAGTAGCGGCCGTTCTTCTTGTACCATTTAAGGCTCAAAATATTGCTAATAGTTGGCGTGACTTTGATAATTCGTGTGTTCGTTGTGCTCAAAAATAAACGCTTCTTCAAAATGTGGATATCTTGCTTACTTTCTTCTGTTCGTCGATATTCTGAGACCGCTTTCTAGTAGGCGCACAGAAGGGTTGCATTTTTATTGACACCAATAAACGATTACCGTGGAGAAACTATGGCGTTCATCGCTGCTCGATTTTATTTGGAAGAGAAAAATTGTGAAATTATTGGGGAGATGTATTTTAAGATAGAATTTCAAGCACTAAAAAGAGACAGTAACTTTAACCTTTACTGCAGAAACGGTCAAGTAGCGGTGTTGTTGTGCCTGTTGTGTTTAGGCTTGAGCTGGCGTAATTATAGTTTCGTACTTTCTTATAGTATTCCTCTATGCCTTTTTTAACATTTGTTGGAATCATAATAGATTATGATATCTTTCGAGATATAACGTTAAATATTCGATGACAAAGCTGGTCATCACTTGGCCGGTCTCCTTCCACTTCTTTCGTCATCCTTGTGCCTTAGCCAAATCATGAGATTTGCGATAAACCATACTTTCGATAGTATTAGCTCATCACAAGCTACGCAATATTCGATGCTATTTCTATGTTACTCCCCTAAAATTCCCGAAAATTTTTCAAATACGCCGATTTGCCTCCCCATCTGCGAAAACTGATCAATCAAAATCTCACCTTCCGTCAAATGGCAAAAGTTTGTTCTCTCTGATTATTCGCACTTGAGAGGAGCAATTGCTCAGGGCTACTCAAATTTTGACCGCAGCTATTGACAAGTTCTATTCACCTTACTATTTGAATCGTGCTGCCGTCGTTCATACACTTTGCCAAAACATTTGCTTTTCGATTACTCGCAAGCCATCCACCTCCTCTTAGTGGCTCTAAAATAAGTTAGCAAGGAATATTGCTCTTTAAATGTCTTTACCTAATGTTGGAAGGCCTTGACGCTAAAACAACACCTTTTTTCCAAATTTTATCCATGCTGACATTCGGGAAGATATAATGGATTGCTGCTAAGTTTTTATCCACCAGAAGTTAGCTGCAGTTGATGTTAGCGGGACTCTTTAACGAGCTCAGTAGGCTGGTTTCCTTCCGGTGGAACAAACCCTCCCGAATTCCAACGCGACTCCGCGATTCACATCCGCGAGCTTTTCACATACACGCTAACTAGTCTTGGAATGTACTGTAGTTGGCTTCACATCTACTCCGATTATCTACTTTTCTAATAGTATTTCTCGAACTCTCAATTATGGATTCAAGATCTTTCTTCAGAACGATGAACTCCACGTCGCCAAGTGGTGCAGCGACTGTAGCGAATATTGCCTATTGTTACGTTTTACCGATTGTGTGCGCCATAGGAGTTATAGGTAAGCCATTAATTCAAAGGTATAGATGGCATGCTTTTATGACTTGAACTAGCGAGTTCTGTTGAAGAAACCTTCACTTTCTTCAATAAACACAAAGTGAATTTCTCAAGATATTCTAGTTCACACTGACTGAAAACTCAAACACAGTGCAGATTTGCGCGGATAAAAGCAGTTAAGGCTAGCGCTAAGTTTTCCCATGAAAGTCCAAGAAGTCTGTTTCTTCATTCAAAGAAGTATCTCATAGTGTTGGGAAACTTGAATTCTCCAAAATATGCATTTTCTTTGGCTATACACTGCTAGAAGGCTTTGATTGCTGTCCCGTTTTCATTCTGCAGAAAAAATTTCGGATTTCCATAAAATTTTTACTTGTAATAATTTTCCGTAAAACTACAACAATAATGCTAAACAAATATAAATAAACACATATTTTTTGTCGTTACAGTATAAGATGTGAGTGGGTGTGACATAGTATTGGAAGTAATACCGTAGTAATAATAGCCATTACTAGAGGAAATGGAAACAAAAAAGTAATTGTAGGCTCTTACAGAATATTCCTTTGCTCAACCTATTCTTTTCAGGTAACATTACAAATCTCATAGTGCTAGCCAGCCGTCGGTTACGAGCCGTTTCGTACATGTATTTGAGAGCATTAGCGGTCGCTGATCTTCTTTGTATGATATTTGTGCTGCTGTTTGTGACGACCGAGATTCTCACAAAAAATCGTGTACCAATCAACCAATACAAGGTCTACCAAATCTACCAGTGTCACTTCATGCTCACACTAATCAACTGGGCCCTCGGAGCCGGTGTATACGTGGTGGTGGCGTTATCGCTGGAACGTTACATATCCATTGTGTTTCCGATGCATTTTCGTGCATGGAATTCACCAAGAAGAGCGTCGAAGGCCATTATAATTGCCTATATTATTCCTGCTCTGTTATATATACCGTATGCAATCACTCGGTATAAAAGTATCGAGAAATGGGATGAGCATGTGAATGCTACCATATATAAGATAGACGACCATGAAGTCTATAGGACATTACCGTGGCAGGTGCTGGCTGGAATGCTTTCCTTCGACAAAGCTACGAGTTTCTATCATCAACATTTCAGATCTATAAATGGACACGAGAGACTATCCTACGATTTCTTCCCATAATATTTTTATCCGTACTGAATATACAAATCATGATTGCATTTCGAAAACGACAAAAGATGTTTCAAAAATTGACGAAAAGAAAGGAACAGGGAACAGCTCACAAGGTACAGCTTGGTGTCTTACGTTTTTGATGAATCTTGGTGCTTATTGTCTAATGTTTTGTTTAGGATGATACGTTGATGTATATGCTAGGCGGAACAGTATTTATGTCGCTTTTGTGCAACATACCTGCTGCAATCAATCTTTTACTGATTGATGAGGTAATGTAGATGTTAGTGGGAAGATATTAGTAGATGTCAGAATATTTTTAGACGCTCAAACGACGGCTGGATTATCAGATATTCCGAGCAGTAGCGAATATTCTTGAAATTACCAATCATGCTTCGCAATTTTACGTGTTCTGTGCTTGCTCGACCGACTACAGGACGACATTTCTCCAGAAGTTCCCATGTTTCAAGAAATCCTATGCAAATCGTTCACGATTGAGATCGTTTGTGAAACGGACACAGTCAGTTATAACAAGGGAGAAAGAGAGCGATCAACCCTCGTCAAGTCCGAAGGTGAGTAGCAGTATACAGCTGGAGTTGCGCGTGTGCCAGAACTGTGCCAGCACCACACTAGCGCCGTGTCAGCGTCGTGCCAGCATAGTGACTGAACGCACATGCACGGACATCGCTGCATTTTTGAAGGATATAGCCATAAGTTTATTTCAGGTGGCTGGCTCACATCAAAAAGCTCCAGCAGAGCCAGAAACCGTGGATGTTCATCTAGCATCCGGAGAGGAAAGCTTGAGCGAGGGAAGGGAATCCGACTCCCTGATCAAGTATGGCGCTGTCGCCAAACTCGCAACCGATACCAATGGTAGTACTTTCTTGTAGACGAAATATTAACCCCGTAAAGAGTGCAGTAGAGATTCTCTATATATCGTTACCTCATTACGCTATTCGCTCAAGTTATGTCAAAGCTTGCCGCTTCTTAGGTGATTAAGTCATGTTTTATCGTTATAATTATGGGTAAAGAATGCAAGTGTCATTGTGCATGCGACGTATCTAACAACTAGATTTAGTGCCTGTAACACTGTTGGATAGCTTCGTGCTAATGGAAACGACAAAGCATGGATGTGGTGAACGGAAGCTTCCGCTGTCGCTTAAATGTGATACGTACAATACGTTCGGGTTTTCGGAGTTGGAAAATTCTAGAACAGTGACTGTACCGAAATAGAACGCATATAATCTGGTACAGTCTTCTGATGAATCCAATCCTTCGTTCCATCGTCATATAATACCGCTCTTTCTGTGCGGGTGTTTCCGCAACCTCTGCGATTTTTGTTGCAGTTCGTGATCTCTAACCATTTGATTTGTATTGGTGCCATTGTTTTCTTACACTTCTTCCCTGGTGATCAGCTCATATATGAAAGCTTTAATGTGATATAAATTTGTTCATGTGCACCTGATAAACAGATTTTCAAGTGTTGTGCAGTTTTTCTCGTGGTTTAGATCTTGCTAATATACCTTGACATCGGTCAATTTGTCACTGTTACCTGAAGGCGCAGTGCAGTCTATCCCTGTAAGATTTCCTCTTAGCTAAACTTCTATGTCCTCATTTTTATTGCTAGTAAATTAAAAGTAACCATAATGGGACAATTTGAAATGTATTACTGTTTCATGAAGTCAGAAGTAATTTCCCAGCGAAATTCGACTTTCGATTTTTCAACTCTACTAGAGTTTCTCGCTAGCAGAATATGAAAAACTGAGATTTTCTTAATTTAGTATAAGTGAAACGAATGCCTCAAAGGTAGTGATGGCTGCATTTCGATGCTGTAACTATTGAAAAGAGGTGAGATGGTACCGTACTGGGGTAGCACGGCGTACAGCACAAATTCTTGCAAGGGTTTATTAGCATAGAGTTTTCTAAAAATAAGATTTAGAGTTGTAGTGCAGATCTTCCTTAGCTGCTACCTGACGTTACTAACATTTTTTGGAGTTTGGTTGAAGTCTTAGGTGATCGTAATATAGCAAAAGTTACTGCTGATAGTGGCTTCTATCGTTGTTTTAGGCTTGAGCGTATTTGGCTTGTATTGGAACTTTCTTCGAGAGCTTTTTCTAAGTTGACATGCGTGCAGAGCAGGGCCCTATTAATTGCTTTAAAACGTCAAATTACGAAAGATGATGAAGAGTTTAGATAATGGTACGAAGAAATCCTTTTGAAAGTATCATGGAGCGTAAACGTAAAATGCTTTACTTTGAACATTTTGAAAAGGGCCTTTTGCTGATGCATTTATTAGAAGCAACATTTATGGACAAAAGTGTAAGACTCAAAGCTTATACATAAGTTCGGTGCAGAGAAATTGACTTTTTTCCTCGTACTATGGAAGTACTTTATTATAGAAAACAGCACTGAAAACGCATTTAATTAGTTTAGTCTATATCTGCAGGGATTTTTCATTTCAGGAAAGAACATGGTTTGTTCTTGTAGATCTCAGTCTATCTGTTGAATGACGTGTGCGCCTCCCACACTTTGACTTTTTGGACGAATACGTTGTCAATTAGAGCTGCCCTTCCAAAAAGGACGTGCGACAAGCCAGCGGAAAACACTCGGGCATGCATACTAAGTGAAATGTCTAAGAAAGAACTTCGAGTTGAGGAGTTGCCGGAAGGTCTCACACCAAGTCTGATGAGTACAATAAATGGTAGAGGGTAGCAAGGAGAACGAGACCATTAAGGCACTATCTACTCAGGATTTTGACTTCCATGCTTTTGTTGTTCCGAGGCCTCTCATGTCTCTGATTCCGAATATGAAGTGGAAAATGCGCGAAAATTCCGACAATTTCGAAGAATCGCGAACCCGCGGAGCGGTGAAGGGTTGAGCAGGCACGGATGGGCGGGCACAACTGGAGGGGCTTTGCCGTCTGGGGGTCCTCTGCAGGAAACCTGCTAGAAAGATGGAATCACGGAGTTGAGCTATTTTACAATGTCACATGTGCTGTGCCAATGTCGTTGCAGCGCGATGGTAACCCGTGCCGGAACCCGTTCAGACGCACCCTGTATTGTGCGACCGACGTTACAGAACGGAGCTGGTACGGCGCTGGCAGTGGCCACTCTGGAAGCATTTCGCTCCCAGATCATGATGTCCACAAGGCATGTGGAAGGAATTCCAAAAGAAGGTAATCTGCAGTAAAAGAGGAGGTACTGAGTTTGGCCTACATTTTGGCAAATATGAGACGGTTATGTGGCTGCAGAGATCGCATGTCTCTGCTAGACCATATTTTCCAGTTTTCGAGATAATCTTTCAAAGCGAATCTTCCATTTACACCTTTATGGTCTGCATTCGCAAACGAGAGGTGACTCAGAAACCAAACCTCGGTTGACTGGGCAAATCTGCTGACATCCAATGATTTTGCATCGGTTCGTACTCGCACGACAGCATAATTGCTGGACTTTATTGGAGAACATAGTGGTAGACGCAAATCCGCAAACCTGTGACTAGAACTTCAGGTTTAAAAAAAGAAGTAGGACTTTTTATTGCGAGAGCGCGGAATCTACTTGGTTATCTTGATAGTGATTGTTCAGATACTTCAAGTTTTAACATCGTCCAACGATGTTGCAACTAACATGCCTGATGTATCTAATGTCGAGTATATCTGCGAATTCGAATTCTCATAAAATTATCGTGAGTACTTCGGTCTTGAAAAAACAGAAATGCGATTTTTCTTGTAAAAAAGAAGACATAGACGAAGGTTTTCCCTTGAGTCAAACAGAGATTGAAGGCGCAAGAAGTCTAACACTCTCTAGACATTCATAAGCAGAAAACGCAAGCTTTTTCTGCCTCCCGTCCTAAAAAAGACTTATTGAAATAGCTTTGTGATACTTAGAAAAACATTAGTCATCTGAAAGATGGAATTGTTTCGAAGCTAGCTTTCCGAATGCTTATATGCCAACATGTTCTCATGCAGAAGAAGAGAATTTGAAGTTTTTTGTAGAGAGTTAATACCGATCATTGAGCTCATCAAAGGCTCTGTGATTACCCTGAGCTTACGATTAGTTTACAAAGCGACCAATCTTTGGCCAGACGAAGATTTTTTTCAAGCAAGTTTGGTACCACAATGGACGCTGGAATTTGCAGCTTCTAAAATGAGGTGAGTTCTTTTCACATGGCTGGCGCATGCGTCCTTTTCCCAAGTGGTTCCCGGTTCCCGCCATCTAGTAGTACCCGATGGGACCTCCAAAAACTGCTTTACTCAGCACAGAATCCTTTATTGGCTTTTATGCGCTTCAGATGAGTGTGTGATGGGGCTGTACCAGTACGGACATTTGAGCTGGAGAGTCTCAGCTCAATAAAACGTAATACTCAGCTATGGTAACTTTTGTGGCTCTAATATGACAAACGGACTTAGAAAAATCAAAAAAAAAGACTCACATCAGAAATGTACTAAAGTTTATGTTACGACCCAGTATCTTATGAATGACTGCACAAAAAATTGCTAATTGCGTTTGCCACCACACAGCTCAACTAGGGTGTTTTGTGGAGCAAATGCTCTTTCTTCGGAGATTATTAGCTGAGCGACGAAAAAACCACCGCTAAATGTCCGTTCTTTTATAAGCTGTACGGTTCAGATCCATGAAAGGGGAAGAAATGCAGCACAAATGGCACACTAAGCACTACAAGTACAGACTTTCCCAAAAGTGCTTCTTCACTATTGGCTCCCCTCCCACCTCTAGCAGGGCATAAGTAACTCAGATCTTGTACTATACCATAGAGGGGAATCCCTTGAGTGAGAATCAAGCTGCTCATCCACCGTGACGTCGTCGGCAAATGCGCTCCATCTGCACTTTCACAAGCGCGAATCACAGTTTTCTGTGATTTTACCTGCGATTCAAAATTCGAGCTTTTTGATAAACTGTCTGCTTAGTTGTTTACCTTCAGTTCATTTAGTTTTACTAGATGAGATTTGCATGCATCCTATCATTGTCCATTCTCTTAGGAAGCCGTTTTTCATATACCAAATGACTGATGGTGAGTCGGGTGATCCATTCGCTGCTGAACGTCGTAAATCCGTTCGGTAGGTCGCTGGCGGTTTCCCGTCCAACAACTGTATGCCTTCTTGAGGTTAAATAGATGGATTTCAGATTCTCAAGCGCTCGAGAAGAATTCTTATTTTTACCTGACATCTCTAGAGCAGCCTCCCAAAGTACGCATTCGAGCTCAGCTGTTGGAGATGAGATAACCACTGCTTACGTGATGTTGCATATTTTCAAGTCCTTTGTTTAATACTTATTTCGAGTGCCAGAATTCAAAAGAGACAAGGATATGACTGCCGCCGCTTACGCAAACATCGGTTGGAACTTCGTTCCGCTGCACATGAGAGCGTCAAAGTAGGCTTTTCTATCATATTTCGAAGCAAATCATAACAATAGTTTTAGATGGCTATCTCTCCGGGCACGCAGGCAACGGAAAGCAGACTAGAAGTTAAACTACGGAAGTTGCGCGAGATGCAGCAGAATCGGCAAAGTAAAACTAGTGAGAGTTTTCCTTACATACCTTACCGCTATTAACGCTGTTCCCACTATTTCTCAAAAAATTGTTGATGAGAACAGGATGACTTTTTTGGATTTCATCTAATCATATTTTTCAATTTTGGTAGTTCTCAAGACTTCCTTGCATAATGGCCTAAGCTAAGCGTAGTAATGGGTAAGGTTACTTCGTCCATGCACCCAAAACGTACCCAGCGCAGCAGCCAAGAGCAGCTAAAGGCAGCGCAGACATCAGCAATTCGCCAACACCCGCTATACCTCTATCGTCAGGTATATCTCAAGTTTAAATCAAAAAACAAAATTGATGATTTGATGATTTGCCAAAGTAGCTAGTCCAGATCTATTCAAAAGTGCTTCTAATGCTGTCCGCAGTTCATTTATCTGAGTGCAATTTATTGCGTTATAGTTTGAGTAGCGTTGCATCAAGGAGATTCAATGATTTGAGCGATTTTTGTCGCAGAGAATAAATTGACATTTATTCATGCAGGCTTTTACAGGGTGCCTTACACCTTTTGGCCATCCACCGCCAGTTATAAGGGTGCATGCTGCAGTAATGGAATCTTCTGCGAATGATTCGAATTTTTTACCTGCCACCAAAGTTAGCAGCACCATAAAAGAAGTACGGTTTATGATCCACAAAGTTGGATTCCATCAAAAAGCTACTTATAGATGGTGCTAACTACGGATGAAGACTATCTGATGACGAAGGATGAACGTACACAGCATCAGATGGAAGCGATGGCGGTTTGGTGCGCCATGATACTTCGCTCGCAGTACGAAGATGACGAATTTGACATTGGAAGCACCAAACACGGTCTGCGTATGCAAGTGTTCCGATTTGTTCCCAAATTTCCAGCGAGTATAAATCCATAATTATTTGTTCAGAAGCGAATAAAATGCTGCAAGACCTTCTTACGAAGTCAAAGACACGCAGGGCTAGTTTAACAACGGAAAACAGCAAACCCTTCAAATATGCTGATTATCTTAAAAAACAGAAGAGGGACTCCATTCGAGAGAGGTTTCCAGTTGTTTTGAAAGCTGTTGAGATTCACTGAAGCTCCATTTTAGCGCAAATCGTCTCTTCAACTCATCACAAGTGCCATTCCTGATCCGAGGCGCTGTGAGCAGCAAAGTCTTTTCAGTGCGTGCGGATTGCTGCGTTTATTCCGATTTGCGTAAGTCTAATTTTTCGCTGTGTTGGTTTTTGCGCGTGTATCAATTCTAAACTCTCAGGCCTGCAAACAACACTACTTCGTTTGTTTCTTTCTTTTCATCCAGCATGGTTACATTTAGGATTAGAAACTGGTGAGCTCTGCCTGCGACAATAAATTTCTTTCCTCTATGAACTTCGTATTCTAGTATATAACAACGAGATCAGAGTAAATGAAGGCGAAGTGTTTGCGCAAGTTATCAGCCGTTTCATCGTGCAGCGCCTATTCTCGGACCCCAAAATCATGAAGAATAAGAAATACGCTATTGGCAGTGGGAAGTAAGTCGCGAACTTTCTTCTGTGCTGAAGTGACGATCTTATTTGTCTTCCTCTAGGTTGATTGTAACAGATGCAGGTCGTGAAAAACTGCATTCACACTTCTTGATTCACACCTGCTTGTTTTGTTATTTTGTGGAGACGGCAAAAGCAAACTTTATCATCAAGCACAATCCTAGGATGTTCGCGAAATCTTCATCGTTCAAGGTGAGTGAACAACTTTTCATTTTGAAGTACTGATAGTCTCACTTTAGTGCATGGATGATGTATTCGCCGAGTTGAGCCGAGAAGTTTTGTCCGGAAGTGGGATACCACTGAACAAAGCATTTGCGAAAATGGGCTTCAGGCCAACTTATAAGCAGGTAAGCACTTGAGAAGAATGAACATATTGATTTTTCTCTTCCTCATTCAGGGTTTTGTTGATGACTATGATTATACGGTCAAAGATTTTTCGGATTTTACCGACGGAGTAATTCTAGGGTAAATGTCTGTTGTCTGTACAAGATTTAGCGAATGCTGAGGTTTTCCTTTTGAGACATCAAAAGAGTCGCACAAAAAACATTGATGTTTGGTGATTTTTGCAACTAATTTCAAATTAAAATATACTTTGCAGCTGCTCTGTCCACTCATGGCTGAAGTGAGCTGAAATCAGCTCCGTGAAAAAAAAAACAAGGCAGACGCGAAGTCGATTCTACAGGCTAAACCGGAAACTTATTGTCATCAGTTGTTCTTAGGGGTTTAGCTACTTTCGACTTTGTACCACGTTTTTATGTGCTTTAGATGTTGTTGTATATCACATTTCCATGTACTTTTTAAATTTTATTAATAGTCAATAAAAATTTTTTTTGACAAAGTTTACTTTGTTTGCTAGAGTAGTGTATTTGTCAGTGCCTATTTGCTGATTTGCTTACATAATTGAATCATTAATGAAATCCTATATGTGTACTAATGCTGCAATGATTGGTTCAAATCTAATCAAGGACGTATCTTGAAGATCAAAATAGTTAATTTGACCCAATTCCAGCAACCCCATCCGCGCAGTAGCCGCAAGCGCTACCATTTACTGCTTATCTTTCCTTTCATTGATGTTTTTCAAAATCATCAATCGCTTAATCTCGTACACTTCGTCTATCATTACTTATGTTGATTTCAAGATTGTAACAAACAGTTGCTTTCCTTTGCGAAGCTGAGATATCAAACTAAGTTTATCCCAAGAATTCGCGACAACTCGTTCCATGTTGTTATAAGAGGCGCCGATTAGTGCGCCCAGAAGTTCTGAATAGATGACTTCTTCTTCTTCACCTCCAAAACCTCAGTGTGACACTCTGAAGGGCATCATCCTGTCCTGAAAGGTTTTTGAATTTTTGAAGACTTATCCCAGTTTCCTGTAACTGGACTTTCACAAGCACAATTTTACCGGATTTTGACCTGATTGGGTCTATTGAAAGGGCCCCAGTTCCTCAGGGGTGGGGTGTTTGGCTCCAAAGTTTCGGAGTAGAGCACTGGATCAGGGACGAGGTCGGAAGTCATTGGGTTTTGACCACGTGCTTGAAATCTTTCTGCTGTTGGAATGACATAGTTTGTTTACAAGCCTCATAAACGATCTGTCAATATCAAAATGCGTTTCAAGGCGATATGGTTAGTTTTTGCTGTGAGGCCATGATGATCTGGCCATCGACGATTTGTGCGCCAGTTTTCTGCGGTTCAACGGAAATCACTGTCGATGGGACATGCTCACTACTTCTATAGTATGTGTATGACTAACTAAATCTTGTCGTCTTTCATTGATCTTGAACACTGCGCCGATTTTTAGAAAGTTAATAGACCCACGCAGTCAGCTTCCATTTAACTTGCCAAAGCGGCGACATGAGGTTCACACCTAACCACACGACCACTTCATGACCTATGGAAGCTTGAGAGTAAATCAAAAAGTTGACCGGTACTGTAAATGCGAAGGGTTGTTCAAACCGCTGGTCGCTGAGTACCCCAGTTACACAAAAAAATTTACAAAATTACATACTAGTGACATGTAGCCGAGGGATAATGAATTTCCATCAAAATGCGTGTACAACTGTCTAGCGGCCATAGTGGAGTTTCTAACTTCCCACTCTATTCCAAAAAAAGTTAGAGTTTGTTAGTGTAGACGTTTCATAGAAATGTTGCTTGATCTCATATGGCTTGTGCGTCAGTGCTACTGGTCAAATGAATACACGTAGGTTGGCCCAAGTAGCTACGGAAGTTACTCTATTGAGCGGCATGTTAGGAAATTGAAGAGAGATAAAAGTAACGATAAGCAAGAAGTTGGGATTAGATCAGTTTTCTATTGCTCTCATTTAGCTTCGAGAAAGATCGACAACAAATACCTGCCTTGATGATCTTCGATGTCCACGTTTTGCGCCCCCTTTTAGTCCGGCACCCGTTCTAGAAATATCCTTATCGACAAGACGAAGGTCTTTGTACCTTGGACTTTCTCTATGGGCTCTGCACCATTACCGAGTGGATTTTACTCACCGTATTATCATCCTTTTTTATATTTAAGGTGTCTGATTCTTTTTAATTCGATCTTTCCTCTGATCTCATAAACTAATAGTTTTAGTTAAGGTTTAACGCGCACTTCATTCTTCTTGTTCGTTTGGAAAAGCTGAACGACTCATATAATATATGATAGAATTCGCAAAATAATGGTCAATCTCGATTTCTGCAACACATTCAGGTCTTGAAATACCCAAATTTTGCTGACATACTTAAAGTACATTTAGAATTTTTCGTAAATGGACATTCTGCATCGATCATATTATGGGTTGAAAACGGAGACAAGTTCTTGGCATCGCTCTGAAGTAATCTGAATAGGACCAGAATATGTTCGGTCGTCTTATTTTTTTGAGAACCGTTAGGGCTAAGTGCAGCGTAAGGCTCCAGAAGAAGTCTTAAGCATAAAGTGTAAGTGTGAGTTTTAGTGTAGATCCTTCTACAATGCTATCGCTCCCGACATTACATTCCCTGAGAATTGGTAGAAGTCTTGGATGAAAGGAATGAACTATCCGGGCTTTTGCTGAAAGCTTCCTCGAGAGTTTTTCCTAACTTGGTATGTGCAGTAAGTAAGATTTTCCTATTCATTTGCTTTTATACACCAAAACTGTAACGGCCAGAGCCTAGGTACTGGTTAGGAGGAAATCTCTTTGGATGTATCTTGGAGCGTAATCGCGAAAATCTTCACTCAAAATTTTTTCAAAAGCCCGGTTGCCAACGTAATCATTAGAAGCGACATTTACGTGCAAAATGAGTGTAGCCATTCAAAGTCAATCTATAGTTTGGTGCGGAGAAGCTGACCATTTCATTTCATACTTTGGAAGTTTTGTACTGTAAAGAGCACTGAAAACGTCGCGTATCAAAACAGTTTATTTTTCTGTAAAAATTTTTCGTTTGAAGAACATGGTTTTCTGGCTTGTAGACTTCAGTCTATCTGTTTGATCACTTATGTCCGTCTATATTTCGACTTTCTGAACAAATACGTTATCAGTAGAATCGGTCAGGGAATACACTCATTCATACAGACTGAGTTAAATATCTAAGAAAAAACTTCAAGTTGGGTAGTCTCCCAGAGGTCGCACGCTAAGCCTGATGAATACAATACGTGGTAAGGGGTAGCAAAAAAAGCGGGATTGTTGAACGGTAATATCGTGAAGTGGCTTTCTCATTGCGAAGACACGAAAGATGCCTTGCATGCCAGAAACCTGCTAGAAGGATGGAATCACGCAGATGAGGTAATTTTCAATGTTACTATATGCTGCGCCAATGCCGTTCGAGCGCGGTGGTAGCCCATGCCGGGAGCCACTCAGACACGCCCGTAATGTGCGATCAGCTTTCCTTTAGCACTGGCACGCTGGAATTGGCACTCTGGAAGCGTTGCTTCCACAATATGAGATCCACAAGGCATGTGGTAGGAATTCGAAACTAGGTAATATGCAGCAGAAGAGTAGGTACTGAGTTTCCCCTAGCCCTTAAAATCGAGGACTATGGCATGTTGGGCGCGTTCGTCCGCCAGTAAACCATATGATACACTTTTCAAGTTGATCTTCCAAAACGAATCTTTCGCTTACGCTTTTATGGTCTGCATTCGCAAATGAGAGAAGGCTCAGAAACCACAAAACCCCATTTGACCTGGGCAAATCTGTATTTGCATCGGTTCGTACTCGCACGAATAACTGCTGAACTTTGTTGGTAATAGCAGCATACGACGAAAATCCGCAGACTGTAGCTAAAATTCTATGTTTATGAAACAAATCACTGGGAAACTATGCAATTCTTTGAGACTGAAATGCGAGCAAAAAAAGGTGAGAAAGGACATAAATTGCTTTTAGCACCTCCAGCTTTGTGAACTTTTCCTTTTGCACCCTCTGAAAGATGTCAGAAAATGTACTGCTTTGTTCCTCATACGATCCTTCGAAAGCTGTTCTCGAGTAGATTCTACAAGAATATTTTGGCAAAATGAAATTGGGGTTAATCAGAAATCTACATCTATTTTTGCAAGAAAATATATCTATCGTGCAATAAACTAACAGGAAGAGTGCAAAATTGTATCAGGGAAAGTTTCACACAATATTATTTACTTTCACTTATTATCTTGGTATGTTCTATGTGTTGAAGTTCACATCACTTGATCAGTCTGTTCTCTTAAGTCTTACAAGTAATATTTGTAAATATGTTGGAAGTAGATCAACTTCACGATATAAACCCAGTCGCGATAATCTTCTCAGCCAGCAGCTTGTGCGCCTTTTTGGCTCGCATTGTACTAGAACTTTCCTTATCGACAAGAGCAACAACTATGGACTTTGGACTCATCACAGTGCTCTGTATTGCCACGCACCGAATGTCGTTCATTGTACTATAATTTCGTTTCCATTCATTTTTCTGGAGTAACCTGGTAGTTTGCAACGTTCCATCGTTTTCTAAAAAAGAGTAGACGAAAATGAAACTATAACTTACTGCACTTTCCACCCCTTCAAGCCTTTTTTTTCAACTCAAACGACAGTCCATATGCATGCATGACATTCCGCTTTTTCACGAGTGAAGCTCTTATTAACTTCAGTCATTTGAATCTCATATTATAATTCTTTTTGTAGCTTTATGTAGCGTCTGTTTTGGAATTTTACTATTTTCATTCCTTCAGGTATGCCTCTCACTTCGGGAATGACTGACGCTCATGTAGCTTTGAGATATAATAAAGGTGAATTCCCCAATTCGCATTTCCCCAATTCAAACAAGAGATTCCTTCTCAGTTCATGTTAGATAATGATCTATCTAAATGTCATGTTCTACTACACTTGATATATTAGGTTCTTCCGAAAACTTTGTCGGTTTTTTAAAATGACCTGCACATTCCGCACAATAAAGATAGGCAAACACTTCAAGCTGTATCCGATGCAGAATTTCTTCCTCTTTCATGCTGCCATATTCGCAATGTGATTTGTCGAAAGAGCGCTG